ACTGTCTGTAATTTACCCGAGTAATACACATTTAAATAAAACACTGTAACCGCTTAAAACGCGATATATATGCTTTGCAGTAGCCGTGGTCTGGAAGTGTCTCCCCGTGAACACGGCTACGGTTACTGTTACTACTACGGCTCCTGCAAATGGTTTGAAAATAATTTGAAAATAATTTTCAAATAAGTCTAACTAATAGATATCGCGTTTTAAACCTTTAAAGTGTTTTATTTAAATATTAAGATTATCGATAATCTCGTTTAGTTATTTCTGTTCAAACTGTATCTCGTCACGTGATATAAGCACCGCGCCATTTTGAAAAGAGGAAGCCGGGGAAACAGCCAATATTGATGGCATATTGTACCCCAGCCTCCCTAACTAGATGCACTTTACAGCTACGACTGCTGGCGCGATGTTTCTATTCAACACCATTTAACTTTGAACCCTCACATTCACTCACGCCGCTGTTTTCAGGAAACCCATAACAAATGTTACGGTTCTATTTAAACTGGCCGTAATGAACTTTTGCGATTTTACAATTTATTCTATTATACGCTCTCTCTCATAGGGTACAAGGTTGATTTTTGTTTGTAGTAGACGATAAGGGTTGAAACGTATGCTATTATTGTCGAGAATGAGCTGTCGTAGGTGACGAATTGTAGGCTTTTCACTGTGCAGTACAAATTGCATGTCCTGAATGCGGATTCGGTGATTTTAGCTTCTTGTATAAGCAGTATTGGAGATGTGACAGGGTTGATCGTCATTTTGTGCACGGCTATTGATTCTAGATCGACAAAAGGTATCGTCTAGATTTGGGATCGATCCCTTTGGGCTTATCCATAGCAGCTTAATTACGAACATTTTGAATGACCTCTATCGCGTTCTGGTTTAGAATCGCTTAAAAACGATACATTGTTCGGTCAAGCAATATTCTGGTCATTGTAAGTAAAAATCTATCAGTGAAACGGCTACAGAAATTTGTTCGCCCCATGTCCCACAGGGGTAAGCAGGTTTCCCTTTGGCAACGGCGTGGGCGCGTAGTTGAAATCCCATAGGGTTGCGGCATAAAAGTCCATCAATATCCAACAAATATACTAAGTACTTTTAACTGTGTGAAGCAAAAAATTTATTAGTGTGGTCATGGGATTTTTTTTTGTCGTTTTTTATTCAAATTAACGGGTACTTGCAACTCACATTGTTTGTAATTGGACTCGATCAGTAAAACAGACACAGAAGTATGTCTGCTCCATACGGAAGGAAAATGGGACACCCTTCGCTCGAATAATATTTATTATATGTTATTAGCAAAACTTCTTATTGTAAGGGTTACCTTCAGCCAGACATTTAGTTACAGCAGCAGCAGATACTGATTCTAGTCCCGTCCATGTCATTGTTTTTTCAATCTATATACATTTTCTTAATTCTTTAAATACGTTATCTTTTTCAGAATCATTTAGGGTTCTCTGCCTAAGGAATAAGACGTATTTTTGAAAATTCTCTTGTGTAGAGGCGGGATATCCAATGTCTCAATGATAAACTGTGTGTAAGTTTTAAGTAAGTATAAGATTACAATACAAAGCACCCCTGATAGCTATCAAGTAATGAAATACGATATTAATTAAAAGTTTTGCGAGCACTCGAGCCGAGAGTTGAGGTCCTCTTGCGAACTTGTCAATACTTCATACATTATTATATGTCTGGTTGTGTCTCCGAAGATAATGTAGCCAAGTATATTTGCTGATAATGATGTCAATTTTATCGATAGTCAACGTGTGTGAATAAATAAATCTTTCGACATTACAATTATGAATTACTCTTCTAGCTCTCTCAGCGACTTCGTCCGCGTTGAAAAATTATTTTTGGAATTATAATTTGTTTGTTCAAATCGATAAATTTAAGCTGTTATGCACGACGTCGTCCGCTTCACGTCGTTTTGGCAAGTTAACTTGTAAAGGTAGACATATTATAGAGAAGCGGAAATTTTAATATCATCCTTCCATACATATTTTTTGGGTATATTGAATTTTTCAAGCATCAGAAACTCACTAAGATAAATATTTTCCCCGTTTATCCACATATCCCGTGTTTCTCTCGCTCCTATTAGTTACCGCGCGATGTTTTATAGCCTTCCTCAATAAAACTAAACGAAAATCAATTCAATTATCAATTCCAACCATTTGTTCCTGAGATTAGCGCGTTCAAACAAACAAACTCATCAGATTTATATATTATTACAAACTTAGTAGCTCTGCGAAAGAAATTAATGTTTACTGGTATGTACAAATTACAGTAACAAGACAAATATTTACTGAAGTTAGTCAATGTTTCAAGTCTTTATTAAATAAATCACTGTCGTTAAGTCCTTTCATGTGATAAATTAACATAACATTTTTGTTCAAATTGCCGCTAAAACGGACTGGACTTGAACCAGCGTCAATAACCAACGTGTGAGTGTCTCTGTGACCATGCTGCAAAAAATCCGACGCGGTGTTGTAAAAGAAACACAAAATACTTCAGTATTTACGAGTAGCAACATTAAGATAAAACACTTGAACGGTTTAAAACACGACATATATGAGTTAAACCACAGACTCCATCATATCTTTTCTGTAATGTTGTCTGAAATACTATCAACTATCGAGTCAGAAAACCTTAGTACGTCAATTGTATGATGTGTATATTGTAAAGTCGGTATATAATATCAGTTTTACTGCGTTTCTGTGATTATGGTATTGCATTTCAATTCCATCGATATTCTGGGAAACGTCACTAATAACGCCTGTCTAGAAACTTGATAGACCATAACATACATACTATTAATATATATTCTAGATACATATTTAGTTTTACAACATCAATTTAATATTCATAGACTATATTATAATTTTCTAGAATAAATAATTGTGTTTATAGCTACGTATTCTTGTTGTAAGCACGCGAGTCATTGACCTGATTTGCAAACATTTACAAAATCAGTTAAACACAGTTATTGTTTTAAATGAGGAAGTTTTTAAAATATTTATCTAAAAAACTTCCTTATGTTTTGTAGTTATCTTATCTTTTTAATTTTCTAGTTCATCTCGCTTTACCTAAAAGATAAGGTTTACCTAAATTACGACATTTAAACTAATATATAAAGCTGAAGAGTTTGTTTGTTTGTTGAATCTCAGGAAGTACCTGATCCTGATAGATTTTTTTTTTGTGTTGGTTAGAACATTTATTAAGGAAGGCTAGACTATAAAACATCACGCTGTGACTAATATTAATAATGTGGAAAAAACGCTACGAAAACGGTACCCAAAAAATATATACGAAAGAAATGTGAAAAATTGAGAAAATACTTTTTAAATTATCTAAAAAAAAATCCGCGACATATATGTTTATCTTTTAAATTACTTTGCAAGAATGACGTGACGTGACCGATACATGTGTAACAGCTTAAATTTATAAAGATGAAGAGGAGGCTTGCAAGAACAAATTTGGATGGCCAAATTCTACACGGACGAAGCCGCAGACTCAGCTAGTACAAACATAAACTCCAGACTACCAATAACATTATCATTACATCAATCAATCAGTATGTCAAATTAAACATTTGCTTTGTACATTGATTTAATGCGTAATATATAAGTAGTAAATTTGTATAGGGAAAACATAATGATAACCGAATCTTTTGCTGTGATCTTTGCATGGACGATACGTCTTAAGTATAATTATGTCCATAAATTATTGTTTTGTTTGTTAAGAGAACTTTGTATCTTGTCACGGATAGAATGACAATGGACAAATATTTTATACTAGCTGTGTCAGCGACTTCGTCCAAATTCGTTTTTGCAAACCACTTCATCTTTATAATTTGAAGCTGTTACCCACGGCGTTGGTCGCGTCTCTTCCCGTCAAGTTAATCTTTTACTACGACTAGTTTTTTAGAAAGGGGAACCATTTTTTCATACATATTTTTTGGGTATCTTGAACCGTTAACCGTATGCTTCCGCACCCAAAATGATGAATAATTTTGCCAATTTTTTTCACATTTCTCGCTGTATATTTAATTGTATTAGTCACAGGGATGTTTTATAGTCTACAGCCTTCCTCGATAAATGGTCTAACGAACACAAAAATAATTTTTCAATTCCTGAAATTAGCGCGTTCTAACAACAAACAAACAAACAAACCCTACATATTTATATATTAGTATAGATATTCTTCTTCTTAAGTTAATTTGAAGGTAAACTACTCTATCTTTCTTCTACTTTTTGAGTTTTTTAAATAGTTTCGCAGTGTACGCAATGGAAGCCCTCGAAGATGAATATTGTTCCCCGTTGTCCGTATTGTCACTATTTCAACGCTGGTATTGACACAAAATCATTCTCGATAAATGGTCTACCCAACAGAATAATAGTTTTTCAATTCGAGCCAGTCGTTCCTGAGATTAGCGGGTTCAAACAGACACCTTTATTTACCTACTTACAATTAGTATTGATAGCATCGTGGTTTATTATACTACTAAATATATTGAATATGGTCATTCATTTTCCGTATAATATATTATTATAGATAATTTCAATATAATTCTTAATTATGATTTATCATTTTCAACATAATTAAGACAAATAAGTAATTATTGAGAGCGAGGGTGTGCATTTTAATTAAGAAACGCCTTAAATTTAATTATTGTACCAGATAAAATATGAAATTAAGTTTAAAATAAAACAAAATATTCCTCTTCTTATTCCAGTGTATAATTCTTTCTTATAAGGTTGTCCTTATCTCTGTTCTTCTGTATCGTAACTATTTTTAATGCCTATGTATAACTATAAATGACGTATAACCTTTCGCACGTAAGGTTCGTAGGTAAAGCCCCACTAAGGTAATCACTTCAATGACGTTTCCTATCTTTATCTCAGTCAACCTGATAGTGACTCATGATCTGTGAATGACCTACCTCATTCAAGTCGTTCAGTCTCGTTCCAATTCGAGTCGCGAAAACTTGTGCCATAATGAAGCTGTTTGTTTGTGTTTTTTTGTGTTTATTTACATACATTTACGCTTGGGGTCGAGGTGATCTGGAGAAATATGGGCCATTTCAACTCGCTTTGCATTCAAATTTAATAAAGTGTAAGTGTTTATAATATTAATATAATATTTGAAAACTTAAATATTAAATACTGTCTGTAGTTTACGCGAGTAGTAGACATTTAAATTAAACACTTTAACGGTTTAATACGCCATATATATTAGCTTATTTTTTTTAAATATATTTTTCACATAGTAGGACTATATAAATTAAAATCGATTATAAATTTAAAAAAAATTACGCGAGAGGTGCATGTATCAATAGGCTGAAAGAAGTCGACGATGACGTGTAAGACACGGTAGCTCAATTAGTTAGAGCAACAGCACGGCAAGCTGTGGATTGCAGTTCCAGGTCTGTCCCAGTAGTATTTTTTTTTCAATTTATAATCGATTTATAAACAATAATATATAAAAAACAATATCCCTTACTTTACTCACTAGCCGAAATGTTCAAAATCATTTGCTATTTGTAAGCAATAGAAGAAGAAGAAGAAGTTGAGTAAACAAATAAATTTATAAACATTACAACTAACTTGCTAAGTAATATTAAATACAGTCAGTCACATAACTATTCATAAAAATGACTTGCGATTAGACCTCAACTAATCAGTAGTCAAATTTATTTCATTGATCCGATTAATGTCATATGTCTTGTAACCTTGTAACGAGACGTAATAATACAAAATAGACTCATGTAGCTATAAAACCAACTATAGTAATGTATTCCATATGCTGTATGTTTTCCTTCAACTCGAACTAAAATCTGACAATGACTTGTATGTATGTATTGCCACCATACTATATAGTATTGACTATATTAAGAGTCTGCGTACTATATTTTCAACAACGATGTCTTATATCATTAAAAATCATTTATTACCAAAGGTAGAAAATTAACAACTCTGGTAATTTGATTTTATCTTTTTTATTGTTTGTTTGAATGCGTTAATCTCCGGAACTGCTGGATCGAATGGAATAAGTATTTTTGGTGTTGGATAAACAATATAATGAGAAAGGTTTAAGGCCAAATAATTTCACGTCGCGACCAAAAGAAACGCGGAAAATATATTTAACCATCAAGGCTCCCGTTGCGTGCGCTGCGAAAACGGTTTAAGAATCCAAAAAAATATGTATGAAAAAATAACTATTCTTTAAATGTTATATATCTTTTAAGAATGATTTGCAAGAACGACGACGTCATGGGTAATAGCTAGTTTATTGATAAATGCGCATTGTGGCGTCAATAACAAGACTATTACCTAAATGAATTGAATCAGAGGTTAATATTAGTTTTAGTACCGTCGTAAATCCTTAATAAACATAATATATAGAACAAAACCAATACTGAACAATGATTGTATACTTATCTCTGAACATTTCAAACAAAGAGATGAAGTCATGCTTCCATTTCTATTACAATGTAGATATAACTTCCTTTCTTAATCGCCTTATCAATGATGATTCAAAAGAGAAAAAACTAAATTAACAAGACATTAACATTGTTGATTCATAATATCGATATTATTAACAATTTTATGGGCTCGTTGGTGTAATGATAACAATGTATGGTTTATAATCAACAGGTCGTTGGTTCGATCCCCACCAGATTCAAAGTTTTTCTAATCAATTTATAATTTTTCTGAACCATGTCGGACTTCGTCTGGAAATGTGATTTTTAAATGGGTGTTAAGAATATCGAAATTTACTTATCGTCAAGTTTATTTACGATTCGATTTCCGTCTGTGGATTTCTGAATATCCAAAGCAAAAAATAGGTCGACAGCGCAACGTGTTTAGCTGTTATAAGGCTAAGGTATTTCCCCTACCATACCTCCAACTTCGACGACTACAAGTCCTACAACTTGTCTGTCCCCCTCCATCATAAAGCATCCGAAACGTCGGGCCGAAGTTAAAAATCATTTTCGAATAAGTTTAACTAGTATATCGCGTTTTAAGCCGTTAAAGTGTTTTATTTAAATGTGTACTACTCGCGTAATCTATAAACAGTATTTAACATAATAATAATCTATTATCGATTTTTTCGTATGTAAACTTTCCGATGTATACATTTTCTTTCTCTTTATCTGTCACGAAATTGACTAAAAACGCATTTAGGAACACAATTATATTTCACTTAATTAAGCATTTCATTTAAAAAAGTTACTTTACCTGTGTCAAGGATAATACTAAATATTTTTTACAATATTATTTCAAAGAACATTCATATTTTTTATACTTAACATGAAACATCAAATCGATATTGCAATAGAACGCCATTTTGGTGATATAACTTATCACCAAAATGTCGGCGTTCTATGGCGATAGTTACTATGTTCGTAAATCAATATTATACTTACATCTTCATGAACACACACAATAAATGATATGTTCAAAATACATACTCCTCATTTTCAAAATGGTTAATGTACTTACATCAATCGAGTACAAAACAATTAAAAATTATTTAACTTTATAATGCTTTAGCGGGTGTAACGCATTGCGTAAAACGTGATAGTTTAAAAAATAGTTTCGTTCAGGCAGGGGATAGAAGTCCGAACAACTACGTAAAAAAATCAATGACATAGATTCAGAAATGTGTCATCGTACCTCATACCCATTTGAGACTCGCTATAACTCATAATCCAGAGCTTTATTCGAGAATATCTATCCCGAACTAACATTAAGCTTAAATAGAAAACAATTTTCTCAATTAATCTGTTTACAGAATACCGTCAAGTAACAAGAGACCACTATTATTCTATTTACTTCAATGAAGGTAATTGTTTTTCAGGTGATCACGACCGGACACTCAACCTTGACGTCAGTGAAATCGATGTATACTTTTATGACTTCCCGCGCAACGAAGTCGAGACCTTCCACATCAATGACGCTGCTAAGGGTATTCTGGCCTACAAGGAGCTGGACAAAGTAAAACAATTCATCGTCTTCGTTGCAGGATACAAGTCCAACATTAACAAGAAGACTGAAGAACGAGTTCGTGATACGTTCAGGAACTATCCGAATAGCTACCTTATTATCCTCGATCACTCCCCTTACACCAATAACAACCAGGGCAACATAAAGAGCTATGAAAGATCAGTCAAATATATTCACTACATCGGAAAGGCATTAGGAAATATGCTAACTGAGTTGACGAAGAGCGGCATTTCAGCCAACAATATCCATTGCATTGGTCACAGTCTGGGTGGACAAGCACTCGCGCACACTGGTGAAACCTTTTTCAAGAATACAGGTACAAAATTTGCTAGAATTACAGCGTTAGATCCAGCTGGACCATGCTTCTCGAACAGTTTGATAGAGGAACAAATAAGATCTGGCGTGGCTGACTACGTTGAGGTGTATCATTGTAATGCTGGAGGTTTGGGAACTACGAGCGTATTGGGAGATATAGACTTCTTTATAAATAAAAAAGGATCCACTCAACCTCATTGCAGTACTCCCTTGATTCCTGGTATTTTCGACTCGTCCAAAGCGGCCAAATGCAATCACAGAGCGTGTATTGATATCTGGACGTCTACTGTCAGTCATCCAAACTGGTTCCTTGCGTGGAAGTGCGATTCGTATAAACAATTTAAGAACGGATTATGCGCAGCTAATGAAGTTACAATAGCTGGTTTCTGGAATCCCGGTAACGCGACTGGTGTATTTTATTTCTCGACGGATGGATATGATATCAATTAAATTTATTCACCAGTTCTTCAGATGTTTTTAAGTAAGCAAGAACCTTGCAGCAAGAAACTTTTTGATTCTACGACGGATATATTAACAAAAAAGCGTACATACCTATGATTTAAAGGTACAAATAAAGTGTATTTATCTACTTATTTATTTCGCAAATCGCGGGATTCATGTACGATTGTATGTAAAAATTACGATTCAGATAGAAGTAAAGTCAAATTTTTTAGAATAACTCTAATATGATTAAAAATATATATTGAAATGTAAAAACATTTATTATGTGCGATATAAAGATACCATCCCCGTTAATATTTAAAATTGCAAAACAAACTTTTTTGAAATAAATTGCGTTAATCAAAAGTTCTTGGATTCGAATCCCTAGGAAACTAAAAAAATATGTCGGTTAAGCACAGAAGTGTGAATTACTTTTCAACACACTGTACAGAACAAAACAAAAATATCTAATTTCATTTATGCAATAAGTATATTACAAAATGTATTGTATAACAAATGGTTTGGACAGTTCAATACACAGACGATAAGAAGGAAACTGTATACAGTGAATTGAAGGAAGGCAAAAGTGTTTTCCCGCACTTGACTCAGGTTCTTGTTGTTGAGGGAAAAACCTTGTAAGTAGGTAATGTAAATATTTAGCGATCTCAACTGCCGAAGAGTGAAACACAACAATGTGCTATCGATTTAATTTTTGTAAGCACCTCTTACATTTTATCTACTCCAATTTTAAAATGAAACTCTGAAGATACTCGAAAAAAGCGATTACGTAAAAAGCAAAATTCAACAAAAGAGCAAACAGTTTGCTTGTTATATTTATTTTTACGTTGTTTCGTAAGTAAATCATTATAATTGCGGACGTTTCAGCCACAGGAGGAACAGCCTCCTTTGTAGTTAAAGAATATTAATGTTCTTTGAATTATACAAGTGTTTTGTTTTAACTGGGAAGTGTATAACTCAAACTTTTTTCTCATACAATCCATTGTTATAATGCTATGTGTAGGGGTAATATTACATTTTCCAAAATAGGAATTAAATTATAGAAAAGTTAATTACAAGGTGGATTACATAAGATTACATGGACAAGTCGTTTGTGTTTTTATAGGCATTGTCATTACATCACCAACACATCTCTACACAATACAGCATCATCGATGATCAATAAATCATAAATACGAATACATAATTTTATTTTAGACGAATAATATTAAAAAAATACATTTACATTAAGTTTAGTCCTCCAATAATGACATCTAAGTGAAGCTTTTAAGTAATTACGTGTATCTTCACTGAAAAAAATTATTTCCCATTTCTTAGCTAATGGAGAACTTGAATTAAATGCTTAAATGCTTTAATATTGCAAATGGCTATGTTTTATATTTGTTTAAAATGTGAAATCCCGTTTCCCCCTCGTGGGGAATGGGGCGAACAGATTTTTGAGTTCGTTTCCCGTCTTCTTTAACAGAAAAGTAGTTCTGATTTCTGTGCCCTGCCCGACGAAACAATTTTTTGTTTCCCTGAGTTTCGATTCCAGAACCTCTCGCACTTAACTATTTGGCTACAGAGACAGTTCATATTTTGGCTAATATCTACTAATTGTAAGGAACTTGTATTTGTTTATTTAGATGTAAACAAAAATTATAAGATTTTGCCTCAGTTGGGTATGCAAAAATTTTGGGACTTCTGTCCAGTTCTTGATTCTTGAATGATCTACTAGGTAGTAAAGAATTTAGTTCACATTAAAACGGTTCAAATAATAAACTTTTAACAAATTATGCAGCCGAATAATCCCTTCGTGCAGGAAATAATTTAAAATTCCATCTATCTTCATTTCTCCGCAGTAAAGCTCTGACTAGGTTATTAAACATGTAAACGATGTTATTTAGGTATTATGCGATCAAGCGCTCGTAGCTTCTACATAAACAGCACTTTTTGTATGGTTCAAAATGATCTTGTGGCAGCTAGTACGGAATCTTTTTAAATAATAACACTAGTTTCCTTAGACGAAAACTTATACCTAATATCGCCTTCCAAATATAACTTGTATGATTTGACATTAGATTGTCATTCAAGGACACTTATTTCGTGTTTATTTTTTTGTTTTGCGTCAACAGGAGCAGCCTTCAAAGATGTTTAATTCTTTAAAGTTAAATAAAATAACAAAAGGTTCTGAAAAAAAAATACGGCAAATATCGCCTAACGACATTTTGCTAAGCGAAGAAGCTTCTTGGTTCATGATCTGCGTAAATATTACAAACACAGAAGAATAATTAACTACTTATTAAATAAATAAAATTTAATTAGTGAAGCTGACCTCTAATATATCTATGTCATTCCACATATGCAATTGTGATCTTTCTTTACGTTAGATTAAACGTGTTTGTAGTTTTCGCAAGTAGCAAACATTTAAATAAAACACTTTAACGGTAAGGTTAAACAAGTTATTCTTCTGGCATCATCTTCTAACTTAAACCACAACATAACATCAGTGTAACAGCGTCAAGCAACGCCTTAGACACTGGCTAGAGATTCTGAAGCGCGTGATAGAAATTTTTATCAGACACGACAGTATGCAGAAAATTTTGAAAATTTTAAAATGTAGAGCGTCGCTTTTGCTCCTGTATAATACGTGCATTTTATGTTTTGAATATAATATGTTACGGTTTGCGCTCACTGAAATATTCACATTGTTAAAGGGATTTTAAAGTAAATGTGAGTATTTCAAATGAATATGAATATACTTTCATAGCTGAAAACTTATGTGTAAGTTATGTGCACAAAAATTATTGCAAAATTTTTAGAGACAATTTTATAAACCAAGGCTTTCTCGTTACATTTTCATCAGTTTTTATTTCACTGTAGTTATTAATATGACGGAGAGATCCAACGTCACTACAGATTATATGTATTTTAATCATATGTTATATTTACATTAAAACGTGTTTGTAGATTAACTCACACGTTGATTGGACAAAGATGTTAATTCCGTGTAAAGGTAAAAAACAATAAGTACTCGTAACAGCCGTGATTTTATTGGACAAATAGGGATCCCATACCATTGCGACTTGAAAGTGAATTTTAAAACAGTCTTGACAACTTTGCTGTCGTCTATGTGCTTCTCGCCTGGTGACGAAGCTTACGAGATACTAAGTAGTGCAAGTATTTAATTACAATACTGTGTTTATTGTCGTAATTATGTTTAAACAGATGGTGGACCCAGAAGCTTCTTCGCTTAGCAAAATTTCCTGTATTATTTTTTTGAGGCCAAGGCTTTGGTAACATATTAAACTTCTTCGCAACTTTATCTATCAATCTACCATGCCTTTAGTCGTTAGTTAAATGTTAATAATAAAAATAAATATATTAATTTTTAAGTGTAAATGAATAATAATTAGATGGTGTTAGCATTAATGTGTTAGTAAAAAAAATATTATAGGCAATAACAATTACTTCGCTTCGCGTAAGAAATAGTAAGTTTTATGGCTAGGCGCATATTTTCATGAAAGTGAAACGCTGTTTCTGCCAAATGCAACAAGAGAACTTTGTTGGTTTTAATAACTCCAGAGCAGAACTGAGCCTAAGAGCTATCCCGATAATTAAATCCAGGGCGTGTCACGTAGAACAGAAGCTTCAAATCCTGTTTTCCTCCAGGGTATGGGGGCGACCACACTTACCGCATTATTTGTCTTTGAGAGTTATCCCTCGAATTTTTCCCTTTTTTCCATATTTCCCACCGTTTCCTCATTAAAATGTTCGATAAATGCACAAAATATTTTTTAAATCCAAACTAGTAGTTTCTGAGACTGGCGCTTTCAAACAAACACACTCTTCAGCTTTATAATATTAGTATAGAACGTATAGTCGTTCGCGTATACTAGGCCTAATATTGTACCATTTCCACGCGCGACGCTAGCGGCAGAGCCGTTCAATTTGCCGCTCCACTGTCCCCATCATAGCGGAGCAAAATATTTCGCGCCAAATGAATTAAATCTACCGTGAGTCGTTACGAAAAACGGCGCTTTGCCACGACCTTTCATTAAACCATACCTTCAATTAAGCTGTTTCTCTTGTTTTTTTAGGTGTTAGGTGGGACTGCGTGTATACGTCAAAAGGATTCAGCAATATTAAGCTCTTAAGATTTTTTATAAATAACTAGCGGCCGCGACGGGTAGACATAAATACGTACAGATATTAAAATTATAAGCATGCTAATTAAAACGACCATGAATCACTAAATTAGAAAAAAAAATGTATTTCGCGTCCTAGCTGTTAACGACCTTTGTCTATCACGCTGTGACAGGAGCCGCTGCGAGCGTTCAGTGTTAGAGTGCACGCGTTCGCGAATTCCTAGCTCCATTTTCTTCAAGTCGCTGAGACGATCTTGCATTTTGTGCTGCAAGACGAACCTGAACATTCGACGATAGATTATCTGGCTTGCGATTGGGACGCGTACACTATAATACTTTCCAGATGATCATTTTAGGAAGAAGACTCTCCAATACGACAAACTTTGCTAATCTCACTTGGGAACTATTCTTAGATAGATCTGCGACCTTCTTCTTCTAGGCATATTGCTATGAAGGATATTTTTTTTAAATTAGAGAAATTAAGAATAAAATAATAATAATACAAAAGAAAATATTCAAGTTCAAAGCGATAGTTCTGAAAAAAACTTTAACAAACAATATGCAAAGAGTGATTCCTAATACTAAAACTAAGTAGCTTTGAATAGAACTTTTTAAGTGAAGCATGACACTGCCCCTCTATCGTCGAATTACTTACTCGATGCGCGGCGTAGCGGCTGCCGCCGGCATGCATTTTTATTTTAACTTCGTAGGTACATTGAATAGATATTATCTGTAACTAGCTGAGTCAGCGACTTCGTACGCGTAGAATAGTTATTTTGGGTATAAATTTTTGGTTTTGCAAACCTCCTGTTCAACTCTATAAACTTAAGCTGTTACACACAACGTCGGTCGTTCTTGCAAATT